GAGACAAAAGAGGTCACTTTGTAGTAGCTGCCACAGGGAAGAGGAATTTTGTTGGGTTATGAAATGAAGCTCATCTGAACATCCATAAAGGAGCACAGAGAGACAACAACAGAAGGGGGAGCACAAATAATCTTCCTGGATTATATCCAGGGCCACCAGAGACCTGTATGCACAAGCCCAGAGGAGCATGAGGTACAGCAGCAGGCAGGAGCACAAGCCACAGACTCCTGAGCAATGAAAACCTTGTCCAGGTCTTTCCCAGGGCTGTTGTGGCAGAGCCATTGGTTCCAGTGTCCAAGTATGACACTCATCACTATATGATAGCTGGACCAGATCTTGATATCACCTTTTGGATTAAGGGGATTGCTGCATAGGGTAGGATATATGTCATGTCGGGGAAAAGCAGTTTGGGTTCAGACAGACTTACTATGGATGTTTAGGGGAGAAACCAAAGGAACAAAAAGGGAGAGAAGTTTAGGTGATTTGGGGAAGAGCAAGAGTGGGAAAATAAATATAATAGTAAGGGGATAAAAAGGGCTGGGCATGTAAATAGTTGCTGATCAGTATGTTTACCTGATCAGTGCAGCCTGTCCTGTTTTCTTATTAAATTCCTTTCTATGTCCTTCCTGAGTAAGAGCCCTTTGTTCTCTGTGCATGAGGGTTTATGGGGCTATGAGTGCTGTGACTGGAGTCAGACCACGGGGTCAACAGGCCCAGATGTTCACAGTGCCAGAAGTGAAAAGAATGTGGATCTATGAGCAATCCTGTGAACTCTAGCCATGGACATGCCAAGAACACATCTTCAACTTGCTACAAATAGAACCTGGGAACAAGCATTGGCAGTAGCCTCACCTCTCTTGGGCTGTTGGATCTAGCAGGGCAGATTCTCCTCTAACAGAATTTTTATCTTGCCATCTGACAAATATATTAGAGGACTGCTTTTCATCCCCTGACAAAAGAAGTCTTCCAAAGACAAGCTTGCTCCCTTCTTTCTCCTACACTGTGGTGCAGCAGCAGCACAAGGTCAGACCAGCATCCCAAGTGTGATACTGCTCAAAGGTGAAATCATTCTCAGCTGGGCCATGCAGATGCCTACTGCTTCACTTTCAAAAGAATGTCTTCTTGTTAGAGTACTATTAAGATTTTATTAAAATGACAGCAAGATCATTAGGAATCAGACAAGTGCACTTGGTTTTACAATATTTTGATTAGACTTAGCACAGCTTCCTATTTACTTATGATGATACAGAAAAAAAGAAAACTTTAAGCCTCTCCCAGAAAGTTACACATCATAGATTCATATTTTATGTTGTTACAGTGGCACTTAATAAAATGAAACATTAACACTGCATTGAATAAATACAGTAAGCATGGCAACTGAAATAGGAGAACCAAACATATTTTAGCTGTCATTATTGTCAAAAATTATTGGATTTCAAGAAACATGTTAAATGTGAGATCTCACAGAGACATAGAATCAACTGTGTAGTGGTGATTAGACTGATTTTTTTTTTATCCTCTTCCATTTATGCTTCTAGCAGCAGGTACAAGAAGAAGATATGGAAGTTTTGAGGCATCAGAAGTGACATGAAAATAGATGATGGCTTGTCTGGCATGCTTTAGTGAGAAGAAAAGGCCTCATTATGAAATAACAAGGAATAAGACAGAAGTGTTCACGGTTCCAAGGAGCTACTTTTGGGAGATCTCTCATAGAATTAGTGTCAAAGTATGTAACTGAATTTTGACACACCACATAAAAGGCTTATGAGGAGAGAGAACTAGACCAAGAGTAGTAGTCTAAAAAGAATAGAGAGTGAAAACACCTCCAAAATCTAACAAATCTGTAGCACACATAGCTCTATCCTCCACAATTAATACTGAGTAGAATGTTGAAAACTATCCACATCTAATCTGATATGAAGTGGTGTCACTGGATATGGAACAATGAAATTAAGGACTAGATACCTTTGAAAAAATGAGGAAAAATCATAGCACCAGACATGACTTTCTAATATGTGACACTCTTAGACGTGACAAACTATAAAACTTTCACAACTTCAACTTTTTTCAAAGTGAACAATGCATTTCAATAAACAGTTTACAGGAGAGGGACCATTTTCTTTGGAAATCCTATTTAAAAAAAAAATAAAATATATGTAGGCAAAAATCCAAGAGATTTATATTTATTCTATACCTATTTGACTATATCTATTCTCCCCATGAATCCAATCAACAAAATTGTGCTATCCATTATGTCTGCATTGTGATGAAGAATCGTTCAATGCACCTTCACAGTTTATTTGGAGATCCTGGTCCTGCTTTCAGTTGTGCTGATTTCACACTCAGAGAAAAAGAGAGTTACTATAGAGCTACATATGTGTTAGCAAAAGCATTGTTGGGTCCCAGTTTAGGTATCTTCAAGAGTGAAAGGAAGGGATGAGATGAGTGTTGAAATAAGTACAGAGACAGTAAAACACTGAACTACAACAGTGATGGAACACAGAGAGAAGGTAAGATGAAATGATGAAAAACAGTATTTTGCATCAGATATACAATAGCCCAAAGATGTATAAGAGAAAAGCCCTTGATCTTTTCAATTAAAATTATAAACAAGTATAAATGCTTACCTGGGACAATATACAAGACTCCTCTCAAACAGCATGAGCTTCAATGCTTGAAGTAGTGGGCTCTGAAGCTACATTTTCAAAGAAAACCCAAAAGTACAACTCTGTTTACCTTTAAAACCATGAACTGGGTCCCTTCTATTCAGTTCCCAGTGGCGACTGCTCAACCTGAAACTCTTTAACTGCTGGGAACCCCATTTGTAAAGTTACTTTAAAACACTTGTGCTCATTTCACCAGACCCTGTATGTGGATAACTCCCTCTGCACAAGTAAATGGCAGTGTGCCTGCAGGAATGCTTACAGTGATATTTGATCTGCTTCTGCCTAACCATATTTTATTCATTCAAGGGTACAGTTTTCACCAATCCTCAGCAGGTTCCCTTCTAAGAAACAAGACAGCTGACATGAGTTATTGCAACAGGCAGCAAAAAAAACAAAGTATTGGAGGGACTAAGAGTAGAGATACTTATTGTCAGCAAAGCATCATAAAAACTAAATTAGGAAGATCCAATGTGTTTTAAATAAAGAGCTAAATTTAAACCTTCAGGGAAAGGCTGCATTTAAAAATGCAACAGGCTCAGCTATTAAAATTGCATGATAGCAAAATAATTCAAGATGTTTTTATGCTTACTCAGAAACTAACAAAAACATGGAATTAAAACTGTCTTCCCATTGCTTTAATTATAGGATTCTCTTTTTCCTCTTTTTTTTCTTTTTTTTTTTTTTTTTATGTTTCTTCCAATTACTGCTAGCTTTTTCTTTGCAAAAAAAACAGATAATTGCCACTTGCTACTAAGGCTGACTTCCGACCTGAAGATAGTCTTCCATAGCTAAGCCTTTAGACAGCAGCTGTTGACATCAAAAGTTGAAGATGTTGACAACATCAGATTGTTGTCCAGTACCTGAGGAAATGGATGACAAACACCAAGAAGAACTATGGGGCAAGTTTTTGGTAGAGTTACAGGTGGCTAAGCAACAAGAGCATAAGAACTCCTATGAAGCAAAAGATCCTATTTTTATGTAAATATCCTCACCACTGCTGTGTAAAATCCGGCAATCTCAGCTATCACATTCAAGATACTTTTTCCTATTGCACATTCTGTCTTGAAACTTAGTGTGAAAACTTCGAAGAGCAAAAGGAATTCAACAAGACCTTTCAAGATTTGAGTCATACACTGACTAATCCCACTTGTAGCAGTTTAATTCCATACAACTAAGCACCATGCAGCTGCTTGCTTACATCCCTCCTCTCATCAGTGGGATGAAGAGGAAAATCAGAAAAAGGTAAAACACTTGGGTTGAGATAATAATTTAATAATTGAAATAAATTACCATGAACAAGCTTCTATGGCATATCACGGCTTCTCCCCAGCTACAGGCTACCAGGGACCACTTCCCAAATCCAAAAAACTAATTGCTCACACTTTTAAGCAAAGTAGGGTCTCAATCAGCTGGCATTTGCCTTTCATAAATACTTCTACATAAAATCTAACACAGAGGACCTGCCAGAAATCTGGTAACAAGAATAGCCTCAAAGTACATTTAAGACCTGAACAGATCCATTGTTTGGGAAATGCTTTTTACTTTGAAGCCTACATCAAGTTTGATCAGCTCTTTGAAGTAGAACAGAAAAGATTTGTCTTGCTCAGTCAGTCTAGAAATGGATATGACCTTTCACTATTATTTTTCACAAGAATTTTATAATCTTTCCTCCCTACTTCAAAATACTGAAAGGAATCTTAGGGGATCCAGAGGTTCAGACGGAATTTCTTATAGAAACCTATGAATGGCAAATGCCATATATATATATATATACACATATATACGAAATATACATAATATACTCTAAATGTAAAATCTATTTTTTCTTTATTCTATACCCAAATAAAATTTACTTTGAATAAATACCATGTTAAGTTGTCACCATTTCATTATAAAGCAAGAGTTTGAAGCTTGCTTTCTTTATTTTTAAATACACCTGCCTTTATGTAGTGGAGAAGTGCATACAGTACCTGTTGTTATTCTTATGTGGTTCCTTAAAAGTTTTCATAAAGACAACAGGTTACCAGTGAAATATAATCAGCTCATCAGGTTCCACAGGTGCTCTTCTGCAAAGCTATGAAATAACAGTTCATCGCCTCCTTGGAGAAACTTAATAGAAAATTTTTCACATACAATCACCTTAAAGTCTTCCCTCTTCCCTCTCCAGCTTCATATCCCACCCAACCCTTCAATTTCTGAAGATTTTTTTTTTTAAGAAAAAAAACAAGAAGAAAAAAAAAAGAAAAGAAAAACAGCTTATAAAACAGCAAAGAAAATAAAGTTATTTTAATATATATAGAAAGAGAACAAAATGAAACTTGAGGGAAAACTTACTGGCGTTACAGTTTATCCTGATACAGTCTAGATGGGGAAAAATAAATGAAAGATGAAATTGCATCCTTCAAGGTAACAGCTGCAGACATCCAAAAACAATCAGTCCACCCTTCCGGGGACAGACACACGCAAAGAGATGTGGCCATTTTATACTTATACACAGTCTGTACAAATTCAGGAGTGGGTGTATATGTACAGTATATTCTATGTAAATATCTGTTACATAAATATATATATACATATATATATATATATACATATGTATAGAGAAATATACCAATATACATACATAGCCACATGATGATACAGAAAGTTACTTTCTTTTTATAGAAACCTACAAATCTAAGAGAATCTTCCACTCCAGACCATGAGCTTATATGAATTACAATTACAAAATTTATAATTAAGGCATAAAAATCTCCCTCAAGACATAAGTCATACTCAAGTGTCATTGTGCTTTTTAGAGACCTTTAGCAATTTCTCTAAGAAGCTTGAAGCTCAAAGTGAACCTTTACACTTGGTTTCTTTTAAATTAATTTGTATTGGTATTGCATAAATACACCATCTGTCAACAGAGAATACCTGTAAAATCAGCCTATGAGATCTGTTGGTGCAATATTTAACCCTTTCCAGCTATCCCAAAGACAGACCCACTTCTCATTCCCCCAAAGCCAGCCCAAAACACTTTTTAATATGTGCACAGACACATTTGACACTGTCCGCTCAGGCGAGGAAAGGGTTAATATACTGCCCAGTTGTGTCCTATCATAAAATGGCCACTTGCAAACAGCTAACCGCACGAACGCCCAGCCCAGATTTCAGCTACTTCTGCAGGTTGGGAATACTTTTTTGGGGCTTGGCAGGGAGGATGGGGATTTCTTTCAAAGGTCCCCAGCCCGGCCAGCTCCTCAGAGCCCAATCTCATCTTGCTGTCTGAACGCTCCGACTGAATGGGGTGCTTGCAACGTTCAGGGAGAAGATGAAATGGGCAGTGAAGTGGCAGATCTGGGAACCTTCGCAGGCCCTGCTTCATTCAGAGGTCACAGGCAAGGGAGGGACAAAGAGAGGTATAAGGAGAGAAAAATAGAGTTATGCCTGTGGAATCTAATAAATGGTTACTGAGGCATCTCCACAAAGAAAGCAAGTTGAGGTAGAAGAGCCTGAGCTAGAGGGCTTCTGAGCATTGCTTCCCTCTTTTAACACACTAATGCTCAGCATATCTCAGGATATGATCCATAAGAGGCTCTTTCATTTATAAATGCCTGGTTACAGGCTTGTGAACATCCACGGCTGTGGTGTCTAACATGAGTGAGAGCTTTCAAATTGGCGCTATTACATATCTTGAGCAATGCTGACCTTCTCTCAGGAAATCAAGGCCATGAATAATAGCTCCATGCCCGTGGACACGTTGTCTAGACAACTAGAGCTTTATACACCAGGAATGGTTGTATTTATTACAGAGATATGGCCCAGCAAGGGAGATTATATAGAATGGCAGAGAAATATAATGCAGTTTGCTTTTTAACTGGACCAATTTTATGTTTGCTCAGATAGATGTAGGAAAATTATTTCTGCAGCAAAATGCAGTTCTTATAGAATGAAGGAGAGGAAAGAACAAGAATCTATAAATAATAAAGATCTATAATGAGCAGGGACATACCAATAAGGAGTAACATAGCCAGAGAGAGTTTGTTTTCAAGCAGAACTTCTCCTGAGAAAATCTGGGTTTGGTTTTGTGCGATTAGGTTTGTCATGTGTCGTCAACCGCAACAGAAAAGTGGGAGCAAACAGCCCTGGAGCAACTGCTACGATCACCATACAGTGGTGGCTATATCCCTTACAGGAGTTGGGTGGGGAAAAGGGAGCTCTGAAGTACATGCAAGGGAACTTCCCTCTCTGCCTGGAAGGTGAGTGACGGCAAGAGAATCTCACTGCAGGCAAGTGAGGTCAAGAGAGTTGCTACAGCTGGAACATGGGAATTTCTTATGTACTAAAGAGCAAGTATGCTGGAAAGGGAAACATACATGGCTGGTCCTCAGCAACATTCATCAAAGAGACTAAAATCAGTTTTGTGTAATAGATGTATTCAGAGTTTTTCAGGTTTTTTTGTTTTTTTCCAGTGATACCAAAATAACTTTATATCCTAGGGCTTTCCCTCAAGCTGAAACACTACTCTAGATGAAGGGATAGATGCTTCAAACTGAAACCCAGTTTAGCCCTTATCTTGGCTGCAAGATTCTTATTACAAAGGATAAGAGTCCAGGCCACTGAGAGGGCTGCCCTTACAAGTACATGGCACTACTACATCTCCAGACTGTGGTCACAAAGTCTGCAATGCCATGCAATTGGGAGCCAGACAGAAACACCTAGGTGCACTCCAAAGGAAGCAGCTCCACATCCAGGTTTCATCTAACTGGGCCAGTGGGGATCCTGCAGGGCAGCTAAGAGAGGGCATCTGCTTGCACTGTTACACCAGCACCACCATACCATCCACACTACCATCAAAGAACCTGTATAGAGGTTTTTTTGTTGCCTTAATTTTGAGCCTTGCCCATAGCAATCAAAAAATTTTCCAACTATTAATACATGAAGTTGTTCTCTCTCTCTTACATCAGTTTTTGAAAAGGAAGCAAACACTTATTTTCCTCTAAACTAGTACAACAGTACAAATCCAAAGCAAAGGAGATTTTTCCTGGTGGTTAGGGGGCAGGTGTAGTCTGATCTTTGTGCTCAAAACAGCACCATCTGATTAATTCAGGAATAATTTTAAAAACTCCTTGGGATTCCTCCTGCACTGTACCAGGGCAATAAGACTTCTGATAATCATCATCTGGAGCAGTCAGCCTTGTTATCAGTATTTAATTCTGAGACAGCTTTTGGAGATGAGTATGCCTGAACAGCTTTAAATCCAGTCACCTGCCAGTTCAGCAAGTGGATGAGGAATGTGGTGACATAGAGGCATGGAGAGCAAATTAGCTGGGAAAATCTTCTGCAGTTACTTTCTTTTCATTATTGTCTAATGTAAACCAGAAGTTACTTCCTTAGTGCTCAGATGAAAGTTTTCCAGAGCATATCACCGGGAAAATGGGCCAAAGACACTCTCCTTGCAAAAAGTTAAATAGCTCGACTGCAGTTAGCTAACACAAGGGATCCATTGTTTGAATGAAGGTATCTTTAGCAGAAAACAGAGATCTGCAATTTAGGCCTATATTTCTTACCATTTTTATCTTTTTGTCTGAAAATAGTAATATTTATTTGAAGTTGCTAAAGCTTCAGGCTGTTTAATCCTTGAATCAAGCAAGAAAGCCACCTGTACTGTGTGAGGACAAAATGGCTTTTCCTTCGAATGAGCAGTCATATATGGCTATGGAAAAGTACTTTAGGGCAAGAACGGGACAAAAAAGATAATCAGGGTCCAACTGCTTCTAAACTCCCTCTGAGTTATTTCCTAGAGAAAAACCAGAAAAGTCCTGTGCACACTTACCCTACGTTATATTGAGGCTCCTTGCCTCTCTACTACTTGCACTATTTTTATGTAAAAATGACAAAAGAAACTTTCCCTTTTGGATAGGCAAACGTGGCTCTGACACCCTTCAGGATTTATCTTAAGAAAAGATAAGTGAGAGATGTGATTACACTTCCTTAAATTAGAGGAGGCAGGAAATATTTATCCTAGTCACCAGTGACCTGAAGATATGCCAGGCCAGGAAAAAAATAAACAACTGAAATATTCTTTAACAAAAGTCGGTATAACATTATAACCCTGCCACTTATCCATGGGAAGAAAATTGTGAATGTAGATCTCCCTATCAGGCCAGCCATTTCTTTCCCTTTCTGCACATCATCTCAGCATCAAAAATTATTCCCAAGCATGTTCCAAGCTATGATTTGCTTAATTTCTCTCTCTCTCTCTCCTTCTACTCCAGACCCATTTCTACAAAATCCTGCTCAACAGAAGTGAGATATCTATCACATTTGGATTTCTATTCTTCACACAACAAAACCTCAAACTACTGAGAGTCCTGCTGTCAACATGAAGATTTGCAGTGCCGCAGGCACCCACACTGGAAAGGTCTGAACAACTTCCTTGTCCCCTTCCTTAGAGAATTATTCACTGCTGCTCTTCCTTTCCCTCCCACCTTCCAGAGCAAGACCCCGGCTGCCCATGGCCATTGTATCTCGCTGTGCCCTGGCTGGTTTGGGCACTGAGTGCGGGGGGTGAGAGGGATATGCCAGCCCCTGCAGGCTGCTCCGTACGCTCCGTGCTCAGGGCTGTTTGCCGTGCGGGCCGCAGGCTTCAGGCCTTTGAAGGGTCGAATACCATCTTTTGATTTACCATGGCTGATGGGGTATGGGAAAGCTTTACAACTGAAACACACAGAAGAGTCAAGGAAAAAAAAAGGAAAATAAAGAAAAGGGAAAAAAACCATATAGGAGGGACCTTAATAAAGACACAAATGATAATAAGTAATTGAATGGAATAGATCAGAGAAGAGACGAAAGAGACAGCTCTTAGTAATAGTATTAAATGACATAAGAAAAGCACAATTAAATAACTCACCCCTCAAAACAGTCCTTTTTCATACACACCTATCATGGGTTAGATGCTCGGGGGATACTGACATACAGCTAGATCTTGAGAGGTGGTGTTGATGACCATTTCATACTGGTCAGGAGATTTAGTTCTCGTTTGTGACATTTGGGCTATGAGCGGTCTCCATACAGAGTTATTGTGACTCAGAGTAAACAAGTGGAAATGAATGGCTTTGGTAAGGTGATTCCTCCTCAAATTCTATTCTTCAATAGCAAGGCAACTGCTGTTTTGGTAGAAGGAAAGTCCTGTTTCAAGGACATTTTTTGACAGTTTTATAAATCTTAATAAAGGAGAGATGAAGCTCAATCTGGTTTCCAACAGTCTATTCTGCACTATTATGTTAGTTTTGCCTCATTGAGTCAGAACTTCTTTTTAGTTATATTCCTGAATTCGCATGAAGCAACAAGCTGCCTCACTAAAAAGTGAAAGAAAGCTTCAACTTAGGTATTTACATTCTTTAAAATTTTGTCATTCCGTAGAATGCATAAAGACTGGAAAGAAAATTAATTTAGGCTAATCTAATAGCACATTCACTCCCAATTGTTTTTGTATTGTTGTTATTGTTGGACTTGTTTCTAATTGTCTTTTTAAATTATTTTCTGGGAAAGTGTAACTCTAAGGAGACAGAACACAGCCCTTTGGGATGGGGGATACACTTTTATTATCGCTAATTTCTTTTTTGTGAAGACACAACAATAACACCAGCTTTTTAATTAGATTTATAAAATATGGCAGGCTGTATCAAATGCTGCCAAATTATGCAAAAGGCAGGGGGTTCACAGAACTGCTTGCCACCATATCCATTTTTCTTCCTTTCTATGTTTGCCTTTGACTGTTTTGAGTGATGTTGGACGAATGAGGGATGTAACTGATCAAAAGATGGACCAAGTAGCATGTTTCACACAGAGCTCACCAGTCCCAGACCAAGAAAGGAAACTTAAAAACTTAAAGACTTAAAAAACAACACTGTCCATAACGAAGAACTGACAGCAAATCTTCATGCAGCAATGCAGAAGAGAATTTCTCTCCGCAAGAGAATATAATTATAGAAGTTTCAGCAGTTATTTTAGAAATCAATCCAATCCAATCAAACCAACAGAAAATAAATGAAATAATTAAAAAAAAAAAAACACTAATCACAAGCCCAAAGTAGTAGTGAAGAGGGCAGTGGAAGGTGTTTATACGATACCTAAATTGACCATAAGTTTGACCCGGCCTCCATCCAGCTCCAGGCGCAGAGTGTCAGCAGAGTCGCGTGACGTGGTTGCCATCAACAGCCCATAAGCGCGCTGGGACATGAAACGGAAGGAAACATCTTCTGCTTCTGTGTGCATAACCATGGGCATGATGATCTTCATGTACATGCTGCCATCATAGCTCAAGATAGAGGCCTCTGCAAGGAATCAGCAAACAATTGCAAAAAATGAGAAGTTACACCTCTGAAGAACCCTCACATCTACCATAGAGCACTGTGTCTCCAGAAACCGTAGCACTTGCCACAGAAAGTTTGGAACTGGGGAAAAATTCAACAAACATTTAACTGCATCCCAGCAACCCTGTGGGGCAAATACAAGCAGCAAGGAAAGATATGGGGTTCACTGCAGCTGGTGACAATAGTACCCATGGACACAATTCCCAAGGTCAAGCACATTAGGACAGTGCCCCTTTGTGATTATAAGCTAGCAAAGCCTTCATTTTTCACATCTTCCAGAAAATGCAATCTCCTTCAGTGCACTGAAGTCCAGCTTTTGCTAGAACTAGCAGTAATGATTAGAGTGAGCAGAGTTCTAATTTCTGCTACTCTTGTTTATGCTTATTTAGAGAGGAATTTAATTTCTTTGATATCACTTTAAAGACACAAACAACTTTATAAAGTGAATTTCCTAATAGGTGTTTTCTAAATCAGATTTTTTCCATTTTGTGATTTTGTATTTTTGCACTACTTATTAACAACCAATGTTAATAGAGCTCTGCTGACACAACCAATGCAAATGAAGAAAGGAATAAACCAAACTCCATTGCAAGTGCCATTCAAATGCAGGAAAAGTTAGAAGATAGAGGCACAATGAAAACCCGGAAGAGGGAAGAAAGAATGAAGAAAGCAGTCATATTTTTCTATCATCTCTGAGGATGTCAAAGAAAATTATAATTCCAGCTGAGGAAAACAGTTAAATTTAACATTCTCTATTTGTTCAGGGTCTTGCCTGCAGAAAGTGGTATTCTCCTCTAAGGCATAGAATTAAAGTCTTGTGTTAGAACTGCAGTAAGCACTACAGCATAACAATAATTGTTTCTTCACAGAATATACCCAAAAGCATTTTTATCAGCAAAATTTATAAATCTACATAAATATATTAATGTATGAATCAGAGCATTCCTATTCCCCACAGCCAACCCCTACCAAAGGCAGAGCTGTAGAGATTGCTCCACATAGGGCTTCTACCATAAAACTACATATCAAAATCCCAGAGTTTAATAAAAAGAGACTGGCTCAGTTTCCTAGAAACATGAATGGATTGCTTCATAAAGCTCACTTGCCAGTACCTCATCCAGGTCAGTTCAGCTGAAGTTTTCTCAAATGATTTACTGGGATTCTCTCCAGGCACCACCACCCCACCATCCCTCAGAAAATTAGCAGCCCATCTAATTTAACCAACTGAAAAACATGTATTTGGAATGTAGATGTACTCCTTATGTTTCAGCCCTTTGTCCCATTTTTCCCAGCCAATGAGAGCAGAACTTCCATCAGGAAACAGCAAGCTTGGCAGAGCCACGCCTCACATCCTCTCAACGTCTAAATGTTAGATGTTACAGCAGGGTAAACTGAGGAACAGCCAAATGTCCATGCCATAAAGTACCAAGGGTGACCTCCAAAATGGCCAGTAACAGGACTGCAATGCAATAAATATGCAAACGAGGTGATAAATAAAGATATAAATATCAAGCTGATAAAGTGATAGAGGAGACATGTATATGGTTCCAAAACATTTGGTGGGCATCACTACAGCTGTGCTGGTGCAGCAACCCTCCACACTAAAGCTTGTATGCAGCACATCTGCAGCCACAGGCCACACAAACTTATTAAGAAAATTTTCCTGGGAGCACCATTAAGATGTCTGTGAACATCTCTACTCACCAGTTTTCTTAGTTGCACTCACCACACACTGTCATGGTCTGTACACAGCTTTCTACACACATCACCCACTCATTACATCACACACATCTCTGGTACCAGCTGCCAGTGCTGCCCTGGGGTCCCACATCTTTGCTTGGCCAAGAAACAGAGAAAGAAAGAAAGAAAGAAAGAAAGCTGCTTTTTCAAGGTGGAAGAATAGTTTCTTCTTTTCAAAGCGCAATTTTCTTCCCCCTCGCATCTGCACCTCTCACTTGCCACCCACAGCTGCAAGCAGGAACTAAATGTACTGTATACTATACATACACTCAAAGGCAATGCCTATGTACACACAAACCTTTCCTGCTCTCTTTCCTCTCTCTCTGCAGATTGTATTAGAAAATGCAGTCAAGCATGAAATGGCTCTTTTGACGCCTTGAGCTCAGATGTGCCTTGCATGAAACAGTTGCTGGCCCAGGCACATGAATAGCTGCGAGAAGGGGGTTGGAGGATATCGGGACTACGAGTGGGAGTATCTGACACGAGTGTCCCAGCTCTGCTGCTTCCTTCTCCACAGTGCCATGCATTAGTTAGGTGCTTTGAAAACGAGGTTTTCTGCAGTTACTAAAACAAACCAAGTGTGGTAATGATGAGTCTCCTCCCTTCAGTAAGAATTTGTGTCCTTCAGCTTTACTGATCCCATTGCCAGATAATTACTATCCTTAGACAAGAAATCCCAATTATACTTATGTAAGGAGGACCTGAAGACTACTTAGAATTGCTGAAGATGACATAAAAGTCTGGACAATGTTTCAGCTGACATCCCACAGTAGCCTCAATCAGATATTACTGTCCCTTCTCCAGCCAGTTTTCTACAAACACGATGCAATGAAAACTCGTAACAATTAAGCAGATAAAATTAAGTATCTTGAAACTGTTGAAACAGACTCCACACAATCCCAGGAGACAATGTTCTGTTCTTGTGTGTGCCCTATGCACTTGACCTATTTCAAAAATGACAAGATTTCATTCTCACTTTGCATGCCTTCACAATCTGGAGTATCTGAGAGTCTTTCAGCACATCTTGCAAGCAGACCATTCCCTCCAGATATGAAAATACCCCTTGAGAGGAGGGTATTGCCTAGTAGCAGTCATACAAATAAAACCTATTTCCTTTTCCTGATAGTCAGTCCCCAAAAGCTTGAGAAAAACATGTTAAGCTGAGCAACACATACAGCAAATCTGCTCAGGGTTGAATGTAATCTGGCAACAAGTGCACAACCCCAGCCTCTCAGACACCTGTGCTGGCAACTTCTCCCTGAATACAGGCACCCATTCAATTGTCCTCAGCCATCCGCAGCAATGGGACTGTAATGCTTTGTTCAGCACCATAAATACACGCAGCAGCACAGTTATCCAAGTTTAAAACACATGGACATTTCTGTCACCCTTCTACTTTTAGGGTAGCTATTATATGGGATGCATAGGAGCAATACGTGAAATCATGTTTTAGAACCCCACAGATTTGTATAGACAAAAAATACTGAGTGACATTTATTTGTGATCCCAGTGCCAGAAGCTTCATTGCCATTAGTTTGGAGATGGGAAGAGGAAGAAACCAGGTGCTGGTTCAAAACTGCTCTGATAGAATGCCAGAAATCTGTGAAAATCAATATGTTATTAGGAGCAATTAGCTTCCCAGTCTTGTGCTCTCAGACCCTGCCAGTTTTAATTTTACACTTAGCATCCAAAGGAGCAATTCATTGCTGCTTCCACACAAGGCTCTGCACAAACCTCCTAGGGAGATGGAACAAGCGTATTCTTAGCACAGACAGAAAATTATTCAAGACCTCTTCATGCTTTTTGTCCTGCTTTCTAACCTCCCTCTTGTATTAATCTCCATTCCTTGCCTTTTTTTCTTTCTCCTCTCTTTTACTTTTTCTGTAGTCTCCTGTTCTTCCCTGTGGTCTTTTTCCTATGCCTCCCAGACGACAATATGGTGTAGTTTCATACTGAAATTTTCAGAAAGGTGACAGTGCAAAAAGAATTAAAAATATCCACACTTCATGAAAGTTGAAGTCCCCAGTGACAGCAGTTCAGGGCATAGGACATTTTCCCTGGCTACATTTGCAATGCCAAAACACTAAGACCAAAGATTTCCACGTTCTTGTGAATTCAAATATCCCTAAAGTGTCTAAGCTTTGTATTCACAAACCAAACACTTTCCTGCAGGCATTGATTGCAGAGTTCACCTCCTGCCCTCACATATCCATTAGCAGAAACATGGCTCCAAATAAAAAAATAGATTTTCTGAAAACCAAAATTACACTTTAAAACAAAACAAAAGCAAACAATTTTTTTAAAAGAAAATATAAATAAATCCTCCTTCCTGTCTGAGTGGATTCTATACAGATAAGTTTCAACAAAAGAAGCCAGGCAAATAGTTTAGGTAGCCCAAATGTAATCACTGAATCTGATGACAACCCAGGAGATAATGCTCCTGTTTTGGTGGAAAAGATATGATGGAGCTTTAAGTGCTCACAAGCACTTAGGACCTTGCACACCATCCAGCAGGATGGGTGCCAGAAGCTGTGGAGTTCCCTGTGCCAGTGCCTTGCTGCCCAGGGCTGTCCCCCACACACAGGAAGATGAGTGGGACAGATGTGCAATGGGGGCCAGGCCCAGCTGAGCACCAGGAGCCCTCCTGTGATGGGGCAGGTCCATGCTCAGGCCAGGAGGTCAATCTGCTGGCCAGGGTAAAGAGCGATTGCCAGGCAGGGCACAGCGACAGGGCTGAACATTGGCCTGGCTTGGCACCAGGTGATGCATGTCTCCCATCTCAGTATCATTGGATTTCACCTTAAACTTAGCCCACCAAACAGGAAAAAACAATTTGAAGGGATGTAAATGTAATTAATTCAATAGCACTGAGAGGGACAACAACAGAGAACAGAAAACCATCTTTAAAGACTTACCTAAACTGAAGCATTACATTAGAAATAAGAATGTGATTTATTAGTCTAGCAAAATACCCTGCAAACAATAAATATCACTAATAAGCCACTGATAGGGTTTACTGTGCTAGTAAGAACAAAGCTATTCTGCTTTAGAGATTTCAAGCTGACAAGATGTCAATAGTATTATTATGAGTTGTTACCCACTGCAAACTAGTGAAGATAAAACAGTAAGAATCTTGGATACATACAGCTACAGAAAAGTAAAGAAATCAGACAGGTTTTGCTCGTACTTAATCTCTCTGAAAGACCAAAATATTTTTCCAA